AAACAACCTCAATTCCTTCAAGCAGACCTACTGAGGCACAATCTGGAGGCCCCCCTCACCACTCTGCTTTTCCCTTCGCTGACTACTTCCCAGCTTTTCAATGTCCTTCCTAAAACCCAGAAAGAAACACAGTATCCCTGAGGCCCCAAGTATTGAGCTGTTGAACCTCTCAGAGCCTCAGTTTGCCTTTTACCAAAATGAGGGTGAGCCCTGCTCTCGTGACTTGCCTCTCAGGTCTATTAGGAGAAAAACTCTGTAAATCACCAAAATACATTCTAGACATGGGCATCTCTGTCAGCAGCCCTTTCTCATTCAAACAACAAAGATTGTAGGTTTCCAGAGTGGGTTTGGTGTGGTGGGTGATACACAAATAAATAATCCCAGAATTTCAGAGCACAAAGGAACCTCAGAGACTGTTTAGTATAACTTGTACCTGGACAAAAATCCCCTCTATGATAATAGCTGGAATTTATATAGTGCTTGGAGATTTGCAAGATGCTTTACATACATCATCTCATTTGATCCTCACAAGATGAGGCAGGTGCTTTTATTACCCCCATTTTACAGATGAGGAAACTGATACTTAAGTGAGGTTAAGTGACTTGCCCAACAGTCACACAGAAAACAAGACTCTGAGGTTGGATTCAAACTTGGGCTTCCCTCACTCCTACATTCTGACCACTGGGCCACCTTGTTGACAAGGGGTCTCCAACATCCTCACAAAGGGTCATCTAGCCTCAGTCTGAAGACCCGCTCATGAGAGGAAGCCACCCACTGCGCCCCAAAGTAACTCATTCACTTGTACCCAGCTTTGATCTTTAGGTAGGTTTTCCATTACCTTCAGCCTAATTATCTCTCCCTCATTTCTGCACGTTGTTTCTAGTTCTGGCCTTCTTGGGCCAGACAGAACAAGTCTTACTCTTCCTGTATGAGACAGTCCTTTCAAATAAATGAAAGTCTCTCTCATACCTTCCTCTCTACCCACAAGTAGCATGATGTTCTTGGCTTCAAAGAACCCACAATTGCATATGACAGTTAAGACACATAGACAAATAACTTGGAGAGAGGAGAACTGAACTAGGTGTAGAATTAGGCCTACCAATACAAATCTGGCTATAAAAAGGGAAGAAACAGCCATTTATTAAGCTCCAACTTAGCACAGTACCAGGGACTAGTACAAATATTACCTCATTTGATCCTCATGACAATCCTGGGAGATTACCCCCATTTTACATTTGAGGAAACTGAGGCAAAGATGTAAAGTGACTTGCCCAAGGTCATTCAGTCAGTATTTGTCAGAGACAGGACTCAAATTCAGGTCTTCCTGACTCTGACACCAGCTTTCCATCCATTCACTAGAAATAATCCCAAGTCCAATTTTATAAGTACCTTAGGCACAGCACAAAGACGCGCTGCGAGACTTCAGAGGAACAGAAGATGATTTCTGGCTATTTATCGGGGAAGAATTCATAATCACAGCTCCCATGAGAAGCAGTGAGCAGTTAGTACAAAGAGGGAAGGCTTTAGAGTCAGAAGGCCTAGATTCAGATCTTGCCTCTGTTACTATGTTTGTGAGATTGGGAAGCTTATGGAATTTCCCTGGGCCTCAGTTTCCTCATCTGTAAGTTAAGAAGGTTGGACTAGATGGCCTCCAAGGTCCTGTCTAGACCCATTACCCTATAATCTATTTATATCTGTGTGTATAGGTATATAGTCTACTCCATTAAGCTATAAGCTATTTAAGGGCAGGAAATGTCTTCGCCAACATATTTGGAACTTAAGCAAAGTGCTTAGCATATAGTAAGTGCTGAATGCTTTAATAAATTTAAATACATTGATTATCAATTAATGTATCATTAATAATTAGTTTGATATCATACATAATGCAGTATAAACTGATTATTAAATTAATTACTTGTTAACTAATTAATTGTTAATAAATAAGTGCATTTCAGGCGCTTATTTGTGAAGGCACTGAAATGGTAGAAGAAATACCAAGTTCCAGGGAACAGTCAATAGGTCAGTTTGGCTGAAATGGAGAGTGCATGAAACAAAGAGTAATGTGAAATTGTTCCATAAAGGTGGGCTGGAGCCAGACATAAAGCAGGGTTTTATATGCCAAGCTGAGAAATTTGTGCTGGATCCTGGAGGAAATACTAATGAAGATTTTTGAGCCAAAAGGTAACCTAGTCAGACTGAAAGACATGGGAAGAACTGACAATCTCCCTCATACCTTACCCCCAGCTTGCTACACTAAAGACTTGGGGGATTATCCCATTGGGTGAGATCCTAGACTTACTCTCTGGGTTGAGCTGAGTTATCTCACTCCCAGTGGAGAGCTCCTTCACTCTGTATTATCTGATATATATTTTTTCCTTTAACTTCTCCGATTTCTGTCTTACTACAAATTACGATAAATAAGTTTTCTTTGTGTAGTTCAAAGGGAGGCAGAGTAGATATTTCTAGACTCTTTCCCCTCCTTCCCCCCACCCCCTTCTCCAACAGAGAATTTCACTATTGCCAGGAAGAGGAACAGGAGGTTGGGACCAAAAGCCACACTGCTCTCCTCAGAGAGAAGGGGTACTAGACTAGAATTATTTCTATCTGATTCCTTACATATTATTATTCTAGGGAGTATGATTGGATTCAATTTAAGTTCTGATCACTTTGCCATTTGAGGGGAATGGATGACCCCAAGTTCTATATCTAAGACTTGCCCTCTTTCCCACCAGTTTCACATTGAACATACATAGTAGATAGCAAGGAAATCTATTTATCCAATCTGGAAGCAAAATGGAAATCAGTGAAGGCACACATAAGAGAATATATCCCATTGGGAGCCAGATCATTCAGTTCAGCTGAGAGTCCTAGATCTCACCCAAAAGAAAGAGTAGAAAGTTGTTATAGGGACATGATGGAGACTGCCAGCTCCTCCCATGTCTTCCTACAGTCTTTTACTTCAGTAATCTGAAGTGAGATTTGTCTTTTCCATATTACTTCTCAAATCTGGAAGTCATAAATGCCAGAAGGGACCAGAGTAGACACTTGGAGAGTCCCAAAGTGGACTGAAGAAGACTGGCACTCTCCCACTCTCACCAACTCTGCCCAACAAATGTCCCACATAATTCATCTCCACCAGTAAGGAGAGAGTCTCATACCAATAGGCTTTGAGATAGGGGTTACACAAGATTTTAGGAGGGATGAAGAAAGAGAGGAAATTCTCAACCTGCCAGGGAAGATGGCTGAGTACATACTGCCTTGGGGTGAACTCCATTTGAATTTAAGCCCTGGAGTCTTAATTAAAGTTCTTCATTGAAGCCACCTGGATTTCTGCCCCCAATTAAGCCTGAGCTCAGGGTAACCATTCTCAGGAAAAGATGTCGTGTTCATGCATGATTTGTGGAGAGGGCTAGGGGCAAGTGGGGACTATTTAATGAGATGGATGCCTTTAGGTAGCTGGCTGGCTGGTGAGGAAAAACTGCCCTAACTCAAAGAACTCCCCAGCCACTCAGGGTTAAGCTGAGCCAATTAAAGGAATGGGCCCTTCCTGTGCTCAGTATTCCCTGGCTGAGGAGCACTGGCTGGCTGGCTGGCTCCTCAACTGCTTTCAAATGGATAGGTCCAGGCCAGCACACATACAACACAGGGGCTAGGAGAGCCCTGAGATGATTCATCTTCCTGAGTGGCCCAGTGGGCTCCCTTCAGGAGTCCCTCCCTTCAGGAGTTTCTGCTCTGCAGCCTTGCAGGGGAATTGCTGAATGGTAATCATATAGTGTATTGTAATAGGGAGGGAGGTAAAGTGTGCCTTCCTTCCCTGGGTACAATAGAGACAGAGAGGATAGAGACATCATGCTGGAAATCTGGGCTCTACCCCTCCCACCTGAATGTCATTAGGAGAGGATCCTGACTGAGATTATCAGCCCTACAACTTCTCCTGTTCACAATGAGGGTCCAGCCCAGAGGATAACCAGACTCCTGGAGAGGGTGTGGTGTTTCTATGCCAAGGTGGGGCTCATTTCTGCCATGGGTAATGAGCATAGATGTAGGAAATACAAGGACTAAGTTGTTGTCATTTGCCCTTCGGTCATGAAGAGGACCATGACATCAGGGAGGTGATGCCATGACACACAAGTGAATTGGATTTAAGTGAGGGAGGGCTGTGCAAAGTCAACAGCCTCACTTTCTCCTCTGGAGCCATCTGAGTCCAGTGGCAAGATACAGATCAGGATGACTGGAGATGGTCCTAAATACAAGAGCTAAGTATAGAGAAGCAGAAGGAAAATACCTTAGGCCACTAGGGGATCATCTTCCTTCCCTCCCTCTTTCATCCTCAAAATATATATCAGAGACCTAAAAAGAGTTACAGTAGATAGGTACAAATATATACACATGTGCATATATGAGGTAAATATATGTTACGTATATATGTGTATATATATATACATACATATATGTGCATGTGTGTGTCTGTGTGTGTGTGTGTACATACATACATACACACGCACAGACATACCTTTATGGAAGAAGGGAGAGTGACTGTGATTTCATTGATGAGGGGAAATTCTGGTATGAAAACTCCCTCTACCAATATAGCTCTTCAGTATGAGCTCCCAACACTGATGAAATCACAGAAAAGTATGATTGGAGATTCTGCTGACAAACTCCCTCCTCCCACACAGCTCAGCACCCTAGCATCTTAGAGAGTTGCTTAGAGCACTGGGAAGTGATTTACCCAGAATCACACTGCCAGTAAGTGTCAGAGACAAGACTCAAACTGAAGTGTTTCCATCTAGCCCTCCCATTTACATTGCTGCTTGTAGATTTCTCACATTACAACCTCAAACTCCCTAAGGGAAGAGTATACCTGAGTGCCCACTGGGGATTACATGTCAGGAACAGCAGCCATGATCTGGCCTGGCCTCCTCTACACTATACCTGGCTTAGGGGTCTGTCACTGGGGACTCCCAAAGTGATCTCTCTCGGGCTTTTGTTTCTTTCAGGGCAGAGCCAGCCCTAACCCGAATCAAAGAGGATCGACGGAGGATAATCTTGCCTGCCATTGACAACATCAAGTACAATACTTTCGAGGTACAGCAATATGCCAACGCTGCCCATGGCTACAACTGGGGCCTCTGGTGCATGTATATCATCCCACCGCAGGACTGGCTGGACCGAGGGGATGAGTCTGCACCGATCCGGTGAGTCCAGGCAGGGCATTCGATAGCCTTCTCAGAGTTCATAGAGTTCATTTTGGGGGAAGCAAGCAAGGTTAAGTGATTTGTCACCTAGCTAGTAAGTGTCTGAGTCCAGATTTAAATTCAGGTCTTCATGACTCCAGACCCAGTGCTCTATCCGCTGCTCCACTCAGCTGCCTGAAATGTTGGCTTTGCAATACAAACTATGTGAAAACTCGGTCATGGCAAGGAAGCAAACTGATCACCCCTCCAAAGGCTCATTGGCAGCAGGGAGGGGTAGTTTGGACAAAGTTATCTTTTGCATTCAAAATGGACTTTATGATTCCTGATCAGTAAAGCAATAAATATGCAAGCTTTGACATTTGAAAAATCTGTGATAAGCAAAGTAAAATGAAAAAGAGTATCCATCATTCAGCTGTGTTGGACTCTTAGCCATCCCATTTGGAGTTTTCTTGACAAAGACACTGGAGTGGTTTACCATTTCCTTCTCCAGATAATTTTATAGATGAGGAAACTGAGGCAGAGTTAAGTGACTCACCCAGGGTCACACAGCTAGTAAGTGTCTGAGGCCATATTTGAACTCAGGAAAATGAGTCTTCCTGACTCTAGGCCAGTGCTTGATCCACTGTACCACCTAACAGACTTAAGCAAGGATGGGAAGCCATTGCCTTCCACAGATCCCTGAGATCCCTTCCCCAGGTCTGGTTTGAGTATAGCAACCCCAAGGTCTTGTTGAGGACAACCTGGAACTTGCCAGGAGAGGAGAAGGAATTCAACCAACATTTACTAAGTCCCTCTAGTGATATTACAAGGAGCACAAAGACAAAAATGAAACAGCTCTTGTCCTCCTAGAGCTTACAAACAACACATACCCAGATGAGTAAATGCATATTATATATGAAGTCGTATGGGTGGGTGGAGTAGAAAGTGGCATCAGAACTAAGCCTTAAAGGAAGCCATGGATTCTGTGAGGCTGGGGGAGGACAGGGACCATTCCAGGCATGAAGGTGGAAGATGAGCCATCATGTCAAGGGAATAGCATGGAGAGTGCAGAAAAGGGTAAAATGGACAAAAAGGCTAGAAAGGTAGGACGGAATCAGGTGGCAAAGGGCTTAAAATGTGAAATAGTTTGGTCGTAAGGACAATAGGAAGCCACTGAATTACTCAATTAGAGTGACATGATAAGGTCTGTGCTTTAGTAATATCATTCTGGGAGCTGTTGTGGAGGATGGAAGAAAGACTTTTTAATTAAATAGTATTCTATTTTTTCCCCAGTTACATGTAAAGACAATTTTTAACATTCATTTTTAAAAATTTTTGAGTTCTAAATTTTCTCTGTCCCTCCTCCCTGATACAGTAAATAATTAATATAGGTTTTATATGTTAAATCATACAAAACAATTCTTGCATACTTCAAGCCTTTCACAACCTGATTCCATATTATTCATGTTATAAAAGAAGACACAGACCCAAATGGAAAAAACACAGAAAGTGAAAAAAAGTATGCTGCAATCTGCATTCAGACTCCATCAGTTCTTTCTCTTGAAATAGATAGCATTTTTCTTCATGAGTCCTTTGGAATTGTCTTGGATTATGCTATTGCTGAGAAAAGCTAAGTCATTCACAGTTGATCATCATACAGTATTGCTGTTACTGAGTACAATGTTTTCCTGGTTCTGTTCACTTCACTTTGCATCAGTTCATATAAGTCCTTCCAGATTTTTCTGAAATCCACCTGCTCATCATTTCTCATAGCACAGCAATATTCCATTACAATCCTATACCACAACTTGTTCAGCCATGAGGGGAGAGATTTGAACCACAGAGACAAAATTTCGGGTGAAGGATGGCAAAGGCTTGAATTAAGTTGGTCACCCCAGGAATAGTAAGAAGGGGACAGATGCAAGGTACATTGTGGAAGCAGAATTGACAAGACTTGGTGATCGATTGAAAATATAAGGGGAAAGGACAGTGAGGGACCAAGAATGACACAAAAGTTGTGAACCTAAGTGACTAGAAGGATGATGGTGCCCTCAACAGATATAGGGAGATTAGCAAGAGACTTGGATTTGAGCAATGGAGATAGTGAGTTCTACTTTTAGACATGCTGAGTTTGAGATTTCTATAGGACCTCCCAGTAGAAATGTACAATATGCATTTATCAGTGTGGGCCTGGAGCTCAGGAGAAATATGAGGGCTGGATGGATAGACCTGGGAATCATTTGCATAGAGATAATAGTTGCACCCTTGAAAACCAATATCACCAAGAGAGCACACAGAGAAGTGAAGAAGGGCCAAGACAGCTCAGAGGATACAACATGAAACAGGGGATGGGACATTGAATAGCAAAAGAAACTGAGAAGTAGCCAGATGGGTAGAAGTAGAACCAAGACATTTGCTAGGTGTGTTACCCTGGGCAAATCACTTAATCCAGTTTGCCTCAATTTCCTCACCTGTAAAATAAGCTGGAGAAGAAAATGGCAAACTGCTCCACAACATCTTTGCCAAGAAAACCCCAAATGGGGCATGAAAGAGCCACACATGACTGAAACAACTGAACAACAAAAGAACCAAAAAAGTATAATGTCACAAAACCCCAAGGAGGATATTCAGAAGGGAATTGGGTGAGGGAAGGTGTGAACAATGTCAAATGCTTTAGAGCAGTCAAAAAAAAAAAAGATGGACTGAGAAAAAGACCATTGGATTTAGCAATTAAGATCTCATTGATAACCTTGAGAGAGCAGTTTCAATTGAAGGATGAGATCAGAAGCTAGATTATAAAGAGCTGAGAAGTAAAGAGAAGAGAAGGGGAAGGAATGAGTGTGGAAAGCTTTTTCTAGCACTTTGGCTGTGAAAGCAAAGAGGGCTGTAGGATGATAGCTTAAGAGAGAAGGTAGTCAGTGAAGATCCTTCTAGGGAAAAAAGGAAGGAAATAAGTATTTATTAAGCTCTTACTATGTGCCAGGGACTATACTAAGTACTAGGGATACAAATAAAAGGAAAAAAAACTGGTCCCTACCCTCAAGGAGCTTACATTCTAAAAAGAGAAAACAACATACAAGAAAGCTGAAAAGCCGGGAGCTGGGGACTCAGGTGTCACAGAGACATTCCATTTGAGAATTATGTGAAGGAACTAGGGATATTTAGCATGGAGCAGAGAAGGCTGGGGACAGAGGGGGAAGCTCGATTATGTTGTTAGCAGAAAAGGAAGCAGTAGGTAGGGATAGATTGAAGATAGGGGGAGGTAATTTGGAATTGACCTCCAGATTTTGTCTCTGATGTCGACATCTCTGAGTTTGGAGGGACATATGGGGCTATTGCCACCACTCCTTATGTAAGTAATAATAGCCAGCATATATAAAATGCTTGAAGAGTTATAAAACACTTTATATATGTTAACTCATTTAATCCTTACATCAGTCTTGTGAGAGAAGTGCTGTTATCATCCCCATTTTACAGATGAATACACTGAGACTAGGAAAGGTTAGTGACATTCCCAGAGAGATTCACACAGTTGAGAAGTGTCTAAAGCACAATTTGGACTGTGTCACCTCCAATATATACTGTAAGTGCTCATCCCACCTTTGCTCAAAGACTCAAGCCCACCACCTCCAGAGGCAGCACGTTCTACTTTGGAAAAGTCATTAGGAGTCGTTTCAGACAGCAGGTAGTAGCTGCACAATGAGTAGAGCGTTGGGCTTAGAATCAGGAAGACCCAATTTCAAATCCAGCATCAGGCGCTTCCTAACTGTGTGACTCTGAACAAGTTGCTTAACCTCCTTCAGTTTCCTCATCTGTAAAATGGGGATAATCATAGCACCTACATCCCTGGGTTGTCGTCAGGATAAACTGTGATAATATTTATAAAGTGTTTTGCAAATCTTAAAGCATTATGTAAGTCCTACATAATGATTGTGTATCATCTTATATGTAATAAATATATTCTTACAATCATTGCATATTAATTATTTTAAGAATTTTCATTTCCCCCAATCATAAATATAATGATGCATAATTAATATAAATTATTATATATAAATCATTTATAATATACAATATATTATATCATTATGTGTTAATATAACATATTAATTATTATATCAATATATAAATCATTTATAAGTAATAAAATAATATTAATATAAATAAATAAAATTCCTGGTTATTATAAACAGTAATACATTATTTTAAGTGAATTATATTGTAAATGCCAGGTTATTATTTTTTGATCTCATTATTACAGTAAACTTAACATTTACCTCTTTGCAGTTGCCATCTATTGTCCTCAGATCTGTCTTCTGAGGCCAAACAGAGCCTGTCTGATCCCTCTCATAGATGACAACCTTTTAAACACTTGGATTTAGCAATTCAATCTCTTTCCTGCCCCTACCCTGCCCTACCCAGTACCTCTCTACTTCAGGCTAACCATCCCTAGTTACTCTTCACATAGTTTTTATAATACAATGACCTCCAAGCCCTTCACCATGCCCATTGTCCTTCTCTGTATTCTCTTTAGCCTGTCAACGTTCTTCCCAAAGAGTGAAATCCAGAACTGGATACAAAAGTCCAGGTGTGGTCTGACAGTGGCAGAGGAGAGCAAAAAATATCTCTAGTCCTAGGCGTTCTGCCTCTTAATGCAACCCAAGGTGACAAGGTTTTCGTTTGTTTGCTCATTTTTTTTTTTGCCCACACTAAAGTCCTGTTGACTCAGAGTTGTACTTGAAAGACATTAAAATCCAGGGATCTTTTTCAGACAAATTATCATCTAACCATGTCTCCCCTGCCTAGTACTTAGGAAGTTGACTTTTTTAGCCCTAATGTAAAACCTTACATTTTTCCCTATTAAAAGTCGTCTTATTAGATTCAGTTCAGTGTCCTGGTGTGTCAAGAGCTTTTTGCAACTTTACTTTTTTAATTAACTGGAGATATCTCATTTTCCTTTATGTATTTATTCATCTCACTGTGCCTATCCCTCTGTCTCTCTCTTTCTTTGTCTTTGCCTA